ACCCGAGATAATTTCCTCGCAATCCTTCGTATCGCATTCTAGCCGGGCATGGCTGCGTGTTTCAACCCTCGCATTGCGTCGCACTGAGGAACAGGGTCATTAGCTACGTGGGTAGTCGGAATGGGTCGTGGGAAGTTGCTCAAGCAGAAACGAACATCGCCAGCGTGATTCTGATTTTGTTTCGGATGTACGGGGCCAGTTGATTCATCACTGTTACTGTTACTTCAGATTCTACCTGATGGCGATGTTGCGACGCAGATTTCATTTCGATATTTTAGTAACAATCAAATTTCGTGCTTGCGAAACACGCGACAACGTCCACGAGGATCGTTGCGTCGCCGAACGACACTCAAGTACGTGATTCTGGTGATTTAAAGGATTTCGAAGGATTTGAAGTTTCTCGAGGACGCTCAGGGCATCGCGGCTAATCGTGGAATCAATGGATCGGAGAAATCATCCTCCGCCGCATTAAAATTGTATCCATCACTGGAAGAGAATACGAGAGCACCGTAAGCACAGAGACACGGTGAGATTTCGCAATGAGGGAGTAAGCAAGGACGAGGAAGCGATATCGAAAGGAGGAATCGAGATTTTTTTCGGGTGCTTTCGATATCCGCGCGTGTACATCTGCGCAAACAGTGGATCCAATTAATCATCCCCTAAAGCAGACACTTGTGGCAGAGATACTCGCGTATGATGGAAACGCGAGCGTCGCCACTGGAGGAAATTTACGGCAACCGCGGGGAATCATCCGCCTCGTCGAGCACGGCGAATCATCTGATATTTGCCATCAGATAATGCACGGCCATCGCCGATAATGGAGCGAAAATCCGGCTAAAACTCGCGTCGCGAAGCTGACCGTTGCAGCCGTTGCAGAACAGTTCGCCGAACATCGATTGGCTCCGGACAACAGAACGAATCCGAATTCCTTCCTGACGAGGCGAGCACGCCTGGATGAGCTAATCGGGCGTGCAGTTACAGTTCTGCGGGAATCCTCAATCCGCCGCGACTTGGACCTTAGTTAGACGATGACGAGAGACGAGGCGAGAAATTGGAACGAATAAAAAATTATCAATGTTTTCTCCTTCTTTCCAATCGTCATCGGTAAAACGATTAGCGGCGAGCAAAGGGAATCGAGTCGGACATTGCCGGCAAGATGCTCGCGCAAGTATCGAGATATTTACATAAATTGCATACGTCATTTGGCACGCGAGAGAAATAGAAACGAGCGCGTCCCCCCGCTCGTTTTCGATTCGGCGGAAGAAGCGCGCGAGAAGAAGGATATTTCCCTTACGGCCATCGGCGCAAGAAGCTCCGGCTGCTAATGCGGACATCGTCTCGGAACGGACGGCAGATTACCAGCTTTTGTGTATCGGCTCGTAGCTATTACCGTTACCAGAGAAGAAAATCGTTAGCAGCGTCGCCCGGAAATCCTGCGGAAGATTAATGAACGGTGCGGCCGGCGGAACATCGTCGCGGCGATAGTCACCGATAAGGAAATCGCGGCCGAGAGAGTCGAGCAACGTCGCGGCTCTCTCGCCTTCATCCCCCGTCTCCGGTCCCCTCCGTCGACGGTCGGTGACACAAGTGCGTCGGCTTGATGTTGTCGCGCTTCCTGCAGGAGCTGTCGTCAGCGGACACCAGGAGTGCCGTCGCGGCGAAACGGAAGGAGGAGGGCTTGTGATCGTTCCGGCAGCGGGCCGATCGTTCCCGCGCTACAACCAATCGCGGCAGCGCGGCGGCGATCGCCACGATCGCCGCCGATGAGGATGACGATGTGACGGCGGCGGCGGCGAAGGCAGGCGACGAGATGACGGTGACGGTGACGCCGTCGACTTCCGACGTCGCCGACAAAGCGGTGTCGACGGACGATGGCGGTAGCGGCGGCATGGAAGTGGCGCGCCTCGAGGCCGTCCTCGCCGCCCTGGTGGAGACGAAGGTGGAAGCGATGAAGGCGTCGTCGACGCTGAGCCGACGTTCCGGCAGCGCGCCCGCCAGTCCGCGCCGACCTAGATTGACCTCGACCTCGACGGCCTCCTCCTCGTTGAACCATCACTACCACCATCATCATCACCATCATCATCATCGCCACTCGCAGCAGCAGCAACAGCAGCAGCAGCAACAGCAGCATAATAAAAAGAAAGGTCAGCATTATCAACAGCATCACCGTCATCGTCGCAGACGTCACGACTCCGCGCCCTGCGGAAGTGATTACTTCAACAACGTGACGGATCATTCTCAGCACAAATTAGCTAATGGTAAGTGAGACGTTGCATAAAAAAAAATTAGTCTTAAATCAAGAAATTTTTCTATAAGAGTAAGAATATTATAATCTTCTTAATAATTGTAATCTTGATTTAATTGAATTTGTATTGACGCAAATATAGATATTCTTATGTATAAGAATATTGTAATCTTCATATAGAAAATTTTTAATCTTAAGTTGATCAACTTTACATCAATATATATACAAATTTAATCAAATTTAAAATTTTTAAGAATATTATTCTTGTTTAATATTCTTGCTCATATATAAGAATATTTCTTGATTTTTTGATTTGAGATTAATTTTTTTCTGTGTATGATGGATAACTGGCTGGAGTTTAAATTTTTTTCTTACTTTACAAACGCACGAATTTACCGAAGGAATATAAATTTTTAGTTTTTTTAATTCAGTTTTTATTAATGAAAAAACTATTAAATCCCTTTGAATATACAAAGTAAAATATGAATGAATTTGCTTGCATGATTTTGAATAAAAATTAATTAAATATATATATTTGATAAAATGTAGATTTACCATGATAAATAAAAATAAAATATACAAAATTTAAAAATTATAAAAATAACAAAAACATTTATAGCGTTACATGTCAATCAAGGCTAGACGATATTCGTTAATTGCGCTCCTTTCATTTATCAGGAAGGGGACGGAGAAGAGCCTCCGAAAGTCCTCGAAGCCCTCGAAAGAAGCGCAGGCATTCGAGGAGCCCAAATGTTCTACAAGGCGTCGTCCAAGACGTTCACGCCGGCCTCGATTCGCGCTTCGAGCTGCTCGGCATTGACGGCGACCAAGATGTGGCCCTAATAAATTTCGAAAGGGCTAAAGATATCCTCGGCGACTCCTGCGAATATCCGCGGCTGCACCGAAGTGCCTGCTACTTTTCCCAAAGCGCAGCTCAATTGTAAGTGCTTTAAACACGATTAAATACTGCAATAACAATGTCGACGGGATAAACCCCTCCCCCAGTAGATTCTGCGGAAAGAGAATCCAGAGATTTTCTCTGGAATCAAATCGTGCTATTTTCTCAACGTCGAAAATTAGGACGTCAAAGAACGACAAAAATGCCTTTGCTAAGAACAAATCGACTTCATCACCGGAACTGACTTATCCTCCCTCCTTTGGAAATTCGGAGCGTCTCAGAAAATCTTCGCCGTGCACTTTGGCATAGTTTTCTCATCATTTACTCGATCTCGGTGAAACTCTTCGAGATATTCCCAGCTTTGCTATCCAGCATCGCTGCGGTAGCGAACTCCGTGCTCGCGAGCTTTCGCTCGCGAGATATCTTTTCGTTCGCGGGATGTTGCCGGGTCTGGTCGCCGCGACTTGCGTCCTTCTTCCATATTCGATCGGGCGACCACGAGGAGAGAGAAAGACGCGGTTTTGGCATGAGCCAGCACACCCGGTGGAACTGGGTCAGCTTGATGCGTGGTTGTGCGCCTCCGTCACATGCCGCTCTCGGCAAATACGGTTTGGCGGTCGAACCACCTGGATGACAAAGGACGAGCGCGCCGTTGGAGCGTGTAATAAAACTGAGGAGATCGCCAGTGGGGATTAGCGATCACGAGGAGGTGTCATCGCGTCATCGCCCCCCGTCGTTCTTTTACCTTCCGTTTTTTTTTTTATTCGGCAAAACGACTTTCTAAAATTACACGGCAGGTGCATTCGACGAGCTTCGTCAATCGCGGCACGATGTCGGAAAGAGGTTCTCTTATAATTTTCCCATAATCCATTAATTAATTCAGCTCTGATATCGTAGTTTCTCGAGTATGTGGCTTACGTGTAGAAGTAACTTTGACGAGTGTCCAAACGTACTTTTCATATATTTCGCGGTTAAAATAAATTTAATTAGTCAAATATAACGGTAATAAATCAAAAATTAATATAAATCGCAATAATTTAATTTGTAAAATGAGATACCGTTTTAATGAATTTTGCCGTATCACTGCGTTTGCGTTGCCGGGCTTAAACGTACGTAATGACAAGACCGCTCTAGATATGTGTGTAGGATCGTGGGATAACATATCTTGACAGTTATCAAATAACTGTATGATATATCGTAGAGGCAGTATTAATTGTAAATTAGTTTTTTTTTTTTTTTTTACATGAGAGAATAGCTGCCAAAGCGACTGATTCAACGTCGACGTTTACTACTTGATACGGTTTGTCTCGATAAATTAAATCTACTAATATATCAATTTACTTTTCTCTCTTTATCGAATATCCCCTCTTAATTGAATATCCCGTCACCGTAGGTAGAAGCTTCTATTTATAAGCTTTTCGCGTTTCTCCCGATAACCGTTATTAATAGATGAACTTTGGTTACAATATATTTATAATGTGCAGAAATTAACTTTATCATTGTACAATTGCAGAATGACGAGAACGCGCGTATTCATCTATTCCGGAAAATACAATTTCTGTTAACAGATACGACAGAATGTGCGAACGACGATAATATGTGAATCGACGTGAATCGCCATTGTCCGACCACACGCCGGTTGTTATCACTGGTTCGAATTTCAGCCCTCGACAATGCCCCGACACTTCGGTTATCGTTTTTCCACTTTTCCGTCCTATTCCAGCGGCATTTTCTAAAATTATACTCAGAGAGCACGTGACGGCCTTCATGTGCGTGACGTAGATAGTGCAACGATTGTTCTTTGTTCAGCTCGATATCGGGGTCTGCTTCTCGTTGGCCGTTGTGAACGTAAATCGAATTGCTGGCCCGCTTTTCTGTATGTCACCGAGCTTCGATGTGTAATTGTGTGCGTGTTAAACAGGTTTTATCGCAAATTTATCAAACACCTTGCTCGATGCTCTACACTTTCTTTTTCGAGACGTCAGCAGAACTATACAAGACTCTATCACACATTTTTTTTATTCTCTTTTATTTAATATTTTTATATTTAATATCACACGGCTTATTTGTGCGACCTAAAATAACATTATAATATCTATAACATTGTACATCCCGTTAAAGATTTTTTATAATATTTCAAATATTTTAATTTTAAATAGCTTCAAAGTGAGATACGATATGGAAAATTATTCTTATCTATTTACGTTTTCTCAGCTCCGTTGCGGGAGCGCGGCTAATTTTTGCAAGCTTTTATTCTTCTCGTGTCGTTCAACTTCTCCCTTCGATCGAAAATGGAGTAACGTTCCTAATTCTAAGTCTCGATTGAGGGTACGTGGTACATAACAATGGCCTTTCAGTCACCGCCATCCGCGTACGGCAAACAGCAACTTCTCGAGTTTCACGAACAATGCAGGTACCACGATGATCGATACTCGTTCGTCGCTCGTCCTTTTCCGAGTCTTTACAATCGGCGCCGGAGTTAAGAATGTGTTCCGTCGTTCGAATTGCGAACGAAGTGCGAATGAATGTAGATTTTAATTAACGACGCTATATATTGATATGCCGAGGATGCTTTATCCAGAAAATGAATTTGAGGTCTCGTTGCAGAGGCGGCATAAGAAAGAGCCAAATCGATTTCTCTTTAAGCAATTTCTTCTCTCCAGAGACATCTGAATGTTTTGACATACGCAATTTGTGAGTCTGTATCGACGTTCGTTTTCTATTATTAGACAAGTTAATCAAAGCGGAAAGTTTATTTTCAACGGCGTATATCTGCGTGAGAAAAATGTTATTTTTCAATTTAAATTAAACGTCAGACGCAGCCGGAGTGCTGGCACGTTTTATTTCCGAAACGGCATTGATCGAGAGTAACGATTCGATGAACAATAGCAATAGCCCGTTGTGGCAACAATGGCTTGGTGTATTATTCCTGCGGTTTTTTTGCATGCACCGTTTTCGAAGCAAATCTTCACCTCGTTCACTCGAGGTTTCCAAATAAATCTTTATTGAAGCGGAAAAAGAATCCCGTAGCTAATGGTTTGATATTTTTTTCAGAAAAATTCATTACGACGATGACGACTACGTGGCGTTGAACGTAGCCGACGAGTTGGAAGAGGAGGAGATTCTGAGCGGACCGGAGAAGATGGACGAGTCTCAGGGAAGATATCATCGGCCGCGAAGAAAGCGCAAACGTAAACGACGTAAGATCGAGTCCGTCGGTCCGGAAGAGGAACTCGTCGATCCGGAAGAACTCCCGCCTCGTGCACGATGGACGATCGTCGCGACCGCTTGTCTTCTGCTCGCCATGTCCTTGCTCTTGGTCGGTGTTACCCTGCGAATGGCGCCTATAATTGACGACATGGGTGAGTGGACTGCGAATGAAAAACTCCTCGTTTATCGAATCGAATGAAAATTAAACGTTTAATAATATTCTTTCATCGTCTAATTCGTTATGTATTTGGTATAGCCAGTTACGTTGATACGAACGTTGATTTGTGTGTGTGTGTGTGTGTGTGTGTGTTGTTTGTTTTTTTTTAAACTTACTAAGGTATTCGAGAAGAAAGCGCTGTTCTGTTGTCTTGATAAACGCGTTTATTCCCCCGAGGATTTTATTAGAACGCGATAAAGCGTGCGATTTATTACGCACTACGGACTTTTCATGGACGGGGAGCCGTCCGGTGGTTGACGCGATGCGTCCGAAAATAGTAGCTAAATAGAAGCGCGGATTTATATATTTGAGAACGTGGGAGAAAATCATGCTGGATTACCGGCGCTAAAATATGCAACACCGTCCCGAGGGTACTAACCTCCGGATGAAGTTGCAAAGCATTAATGATTTAATACATCTTTATTATACAATCCTGTTGTACTAGAGAAACAATATTGTCGCTTAAGAAGATCCGATTAAGTGCATTGCCAAGTTCTCACGAATCCAGAGGGATTGGATTAATCTTCTTAGCTCCCACTTAATTAATAAA